CTAACATCCTCCTCAGTAACTGGTGTAGTCTAACTAACCCTCCTCCTACAAAACTGGTTAGTCTACTAACGTCCTCGTATTGACTACATCCTCCTGCAGTATCTGGTAGTCTACTAACCCCTCCTGCAGTAACTGGTATCTACTAACATCCTCCTGCAGTAACTGTAGCTACTAACCTCCTCCTGCAGTAAAGGAAGTCTACTAACATCCTCCTGCCAGTAAGGGTAGTCTACCTAACATCCTCCTGCAGTAACTGGTAGTCTACTAACATCCTCCTGCAGTAACTGGTAGTCTACTAACATCCTCCTGCAGTAACTGGTAGTCTACTAACATCCTCCTGCAGTAACTGTATTTACAACATCCTCCTGCAGTAACTGGTAAGTCTACTAACATTCTCCTGCAGTAACTGTCAGTCTACAAACATCCTCCTGCAGTAACGGGTAAGTCTAACTAACCTCCTCGTAGTTTACTAACATCCTCCTGCAGTTGAGAGTAAGACACACAACTTGTAACACATCCTCCTGCAGTAACTGGTAGTCTACTAACATCCTCCTGCAGTAACTGGTAGTCTACTAACATCCTCCTGCAGTAACTGGTAGTCTACTAACAGCCTCCCTGCAGAAACTGTAGTTCTAACATCCTGCCTGCATTAACTGGTAGTCTACTAACAGCCGCCACGTAAATGGTAAATCTACTACATCTCCAGCAGTAACTGTATCTACAAACCTCCTCCTGCAGTAAACAGTAGTCTACAAACCTCCTGCAGTAACTGGTATCTACTGACCTCCTCCTGCATTAACTGTTAGTCTACTACCTCTTCCTGCATAACTGGTAGTCTACTAACAGCCTCCCATAACTGTATCTACTAACCCCTCCTCAGTAACTGGTAGTCTACTAACATCCTCCTGCAGTAACTGGTAGTCTACTAACATCCTCCTGCAGTAACTGGTAGTCTACTAACACCTCCTGCAGTAACTGGTAGTCCTAACCTCCTCCTGCAGTAACTGATATCTACTAACATCCTCCTGCAATAAATGGTTAGTCTACTAAACATCCTCCTGCAGTAACTGGTAGTCTACAACCCTCCTCCTGCAGTAACTGGTAGTCTAATAACATCCTCGCTGCAGTAATGTAAGTCTACTAACCTCCTCCTGCAGTAACTGTATCGACTAAACATCCTCCTGCAGTAACTGGGTAGATCTACTACCTCCTCGTAGTTTGACTAACATACCTCCTGCAGTAACTGGTAGTCTACTAACATCCTCCTGCAGTAACTGGTAGTCTACTAACATCCTCCTGCAGTAACTGGTAGTCTACTAACATCCTCCTGCAGTAATCTGTAGTCTCTAACATCCTCCTGCAGTAACTGGTAGTCTACTAACCTCCTCCTGCAGTAACTGGTAGTCTACTAACATCCTCCTGCAATAAATGGTAGTCTACTAACATCCTCCTGCAGCAACTACTGGTATCTACTAACCGCCTCCTGCATAACTGGTAGTCTATAACATCCTCCCAGCAGTAACTGGTAGTCTACTAACCTCCTCCTGCAGTAACTGGTAGTCTACTAACATCCTCCTGCAGTAACTGGTAGTCTACTAACCTCCTCGTAGTTGACTAACATCCTCCTGCAGTAACTGGTAGTCTACTAACCTCCTCCTGCAGTAACTGGTAGTCTACTAACATCCTCCTGCAGTAACTGGTAGTCTACTAACCTCCTCCTGCAGTAACTGGTAGTCTACTAACCTCCTCCTGCAGTAACTGGTAGTCTACTAACATCCTCCTGCAGTAACTGGTAGTCTACTAACATCCTCCTGCAGTAACTGGTAGTCTACTAACATCCTCCTGCAGTAACTGGTAGTCTACTAACATCCTCCTGCAGTAACTGGTATCTTTCTAACATCCCCTGCAGTAAACTGGGTAGTCCTACTAACATCCTCCTGCAGTAACTGTAGTCTACTACGTCCTCCTGCAGTAACTGGTAAGTCTACCTAACCTCCTCCGCTGTAACTGTATCTACTACACCTCCTGCAATAACTGGTAGTCCTACTAACATCCTCCTGCAGTAACTGTTAGTCTACTAACCTCCTGCAGTAACTGGTAGTCTACTAACATCCTCCTGCAGTAACTGTATTCTACTAACATCCCCTGCAGTAACTGGTAGTCTACAACATCCTCCTGCATAACTGGGTAGTCTACTAACATCCTCCTGCAGTAACTGTAGCTACTAACATCCTCCTGCTGTAACTGGTAGTCTACTACATCCTCCTGCATAACTGTTAGTCTACTAACACCTCCTGCAGGAACTGGTAGTCTACTAACATCCTCCTGCAGTAACTGGTAGTCTACTAACATCCTCCTGCAGTAACTGGTAGTCTACTAACATCCTCCTGCAGTAACTGGTAGTCTACTTGAAATTTTATAAAATAACACCTCCTGCAGTAACTGTAGTCTACTAACCACCTCCTCAGGAACTGGTAGTCTACTAACATCCTCCTGCAGTAAACTGGTAGTCTAACATCCCCTGCAGTAACTTGTAGTCTATATCATCCTCCTGCAGTAACTGGTGTCCTACTAACATCCTCCTCAGTAACAGGGAGTCTACTACATCCTCCTGCATAACTGTAGTCTACTATCATCCACCGCAGTAACTGGTAGTCTACTAACATCCTCCTGCAGTAACTGGTAGTCTACTAACATCCTCCTGCAGTAACTGGTAGTCTACTAACCTCCTCCTACAGTAACTGGTAGTCTACTAACCTCCTCGTAGTTGACTAACATCCTCCTGCAGTAACTGGTAGTCTACTAACCTCCTCCTGCAGTAACTGGTAGTCTACTAACATCCTCCTGCAGTAACTGGTAGTCTACTAAACCCCTCCTCCTAACTGGTTGTCACAAACATCCTCCCTGCATAACTGGTAGTCTACTAACATCCTCCTGCATAACTGTAGTCTACTAACTTTCCTCCTGCAGTAACTGGAGGCTACTAACATCCGCCTGCAGTACTGGGTATCTACTAACACCACCCAGTAACTTGTAGTTACTAACATCCTCCGCATAACTGTAGTCCACTAACATCCCTCCTGCAGTAACAGGCAGTCCTACTAAACATCCACCTGCAGTAACTGGTAGTCTACTACCTCCTCGTAGTTTTTACTAACATCCTCCTGCAGTTGAGATAAGACACACAACTTGTAACACATCTCCTCATAACGGTAGTTCTACTAACATCCTCCTGCAGAACTGTAGTCTACTAACATCCCCTGCAGTAACTGGTAGTCCCTAACTTAACATCCTCCCTCAGTACTGGAGTCGACTAACATCCTCCGCAGTAACTTATCTACTAACATCCTCCCTGCAGTAACGGGTATCTACTAACATCCCCAGCAGTAACTGGTAGTCTACAACTCCTCCTGCATAACTGGTATCTACTAACCTCCTGCAGTAACTGGTAGTCTACAAGACCTCCTCCTGCAGTAACTGGTATCTACTAACATCTCCTGCAGTAACTGGTAGTCCTACTACATCCTCCGCAGTAACAGGTAGTCCTACTAACCGCCTCCTGCAGTAACTGGTAGTCTACTAACATCCTCCTGCAGTAACTGGTAGTCTACTAACATCCTCCTGCAGTAACTGGTAGTCTACTAACATCCTCCTGCAGTAACTGGTAGTCTACTAACCTCCTCCTGCAGTAACTGGTAGTCTACTAACATCCTCCTGCAATAAATGGTAGTCTACTAACATCCTCCTGCAGTAACTGGTAGTCTACTAACCTCCTCCTGCAGTAACTGGTAGTCTACTAACATCCTCCTGCAGTAACTGGTAGTCACTAACCTCCTCCCTGCAGTATCTGGTAGTCTACTAACATCCTCCTGCAGTAACTGGTAGTCTACTAACCTCCTCGTAGTTGACTAACATCCTCCTGCAGTAACTGGTAGTCTACTATACCTCCTCCTGCAGAACTGTAGTCTACAACATCCACCGCAGTAACTGGTAGTCTACTACCTCCTCCTGCAGTAACTGAGGCTACTAACTCCTCCTGCAGTACTGGTAGTCTACTAACGAGCCTCCGCAGTAACTGGTAGTCCTACTACATCCTCCTGCAGTAACTGGTAGTCTACTAACATCCTCATGCATACTGGTAGTCTACTAACATCTCCGCAAGTTCTGGTAGTCTACTAACATCCTCCTGCAGAACTGGTAGTCTACTACATCCTCCTGCAGTAAACTGTAGTCCCTACTAACCGTCCTCCTGCATAACTGGTAGTCTACTAACCTCCTCCCTGCAGGAACGGTAGTCTACTAAATCCTCCAGCAATACTGGTATCTACTAACATCCTCCTGCAGTAACTGGTAGTCTACTAACCTCCTCCTGCAGTAACTGGTAGTCTACTAACATCCTCCTGCAGTAACTGGTAGTCTACTAACATCCCCTGCAGATAACTGGTAGTCTACGAACATCCTCCTGCAGTAACTGGTAGTCTACTAACATCCTCCTGCAGTAACTGGTAGTCTACTAACATCCTCCTGCAGTAACTGGTAGTCTACTAACATCCTCCTGCAGTAACTGGTAGTCTCTACATCCTCTGCAGTAACTGTTAGTCTACTAACATCCCCTGCAGTAACTGTAGTCTACTAACAACCTCCCGAGTAACTGGTAGTCAACTAACATCCTCCTGCAGTAACGGTAGTCTACAAACCTCCTCCTGCAAGAACTGTAGTCTACTAACATCCTCCTGCAGTAACTGGTATCTACTAACAACCTCCTGCAGTAACTGGTAGACTACTAACATCCTCCGCAATACTGGTATCTACTACATCCTCCTGCAGTAACTGGTAGTCTACTAACATCCTCCTGCAGTAACTGGTAGTCTACTAACTCCTCCTGCAATAACTGGTAGTCTACTAACATCCTCCTGCAGTAACTGGTAGTCTACTAACCTCCTCCTGCAATAACTGGTAGTCTACTAACCTCCTCCTGCAATAACTGGTAGTCTACTAACCTCCTCCTGCAGTAACTGGTCGAACACCGCCGTCATGTTGGTCTGGTAGTTGTTCCAACGCAAACAGAAGTGGTCGGCGGCGGCGGCGGCCACGGCGGCGGCCCCGCCACCGCCGCCTCCTGCCGCAGGCGGCGTCCCCGACATTACCAACTGTAACAAGAAAGAAGCAACCCAGTTAATACTTATCAAAATAACTCATTAGAAGTCAGTTACATTACTAAGTTATTATTATTATTATTATTATTATTATTATTAAGCTCAATAACATTACAAGATTCACTCATGTTACAAGTCAATAACATTACAAGATTCACTCACGTTACAAGTCAATAACATTACAAGATTCACTCACGTTACAAGTCAATAACATTACAAGATTCACTCACGTTACAAGTCAATAACACTACAAATTCACTCAGTACAAGTCAATAACATTACAAGAATCACTCCACGTTACAAGTCAATAACATTACAAGATTCACTCACGTTACAAGTCAATAACACTACAAGATTCACTCACGTTACAAGTCAATAACATTTCAAGATTCACTTACGTTACAAGTCAATAACATTACAAGATTCACTCACTTTACAAGTCAATAACACTACAAGATTCACTCATGTTACAAGTCAATAACATTACAACCTGCACTCGTGTTACAAGTCAATAACATTACAAGATTCACTCACGTTACAGGTCAATAACACTACAAGATTCACTCACGTTACAAGTCAATAACATTACAAGATTCACTCACGTTACAAGTCATTCACTCACGTTACAAGTCAATAACATTACAAGATTCACTCACGTTACAAGTCAATAACACTACAAGATTCAACTCATGTACAAGTCCAATAACATTACAAATTCACTCACGTTACAAGTCAATAACATTACAAGATTCACTCACGTTACAAGTCAATAACACTACAAGATTCACTCATGTTACAAGTCAATAACATTACAACCTGCACTCGTGTTACAAGTCAATAACATTACAAGATTCACTCATGTTACAAGTCAATAACATTACAAGATTCACTCACGTTACAAGTCAATAACATTACAAGATTCACTCATGTTACAAGTCAATAACATTACAAGATTCACTCATGTTACAAGTCAATAACATTACAAGCTTCACTCATGTTACAAGTCAATAACATTACAAGCTTCACTCATGTTACAAGTCAATAACATTACAAGATTCACTCATGTTACAAGTCAATAACATTACAAGATTCACTCACGTTACAAGTCAATAACATTACAAGATTCACTCACGTTACAAGTCAATAACATTACAAGATTCACTCACGTTACAAGTCAATAACATTACAAGCTTCACACACGTACAAGTCAATACATTTAAAAATTCACACACTACAAGTCTATAACATTACAAGTTCACTCACGTTACAAGTCAATAACATTACAGCTTCAACTCACGTTTTACAAGTCAATAACCATTTAACAAGAGTCACTCATGTTACAAGTCAATACAGTACAAGATTCACTCAGTTACATCAATACATTACAGCTAGTAGTTTTGGACTCACAATCATTAGCGTAATGTAACTCATCCTCTCTCACGCATAGTTTGTAACGAACAACTGTTGGCTACACCTCTTAACACTGTTGTCTACACCTCTCAACACTGCTGGCTACACCTCTTAACACTGTTGTCTACACCTCTCAACACTGCTGGCTACACCTCGCAACACTTTTTCTACACCTCTCAACACTGTTGTCTACACCTCTCAACACTGTTGTCTACACCTCTCAACACTGTTGTCTACACCTCTCAACACTGTTGTCTACACCTCTCAACACTGTTGTCTACACCTCTCAACACTGTTGTCTACACCTCTCAACACTGTTGCCTACACCTCTCAACACTGTTGCCTACACCTCTCAACACTGTTGTCTCACCTCTCAACACTGTTGCTACACCTCTCAACACTGTTGTCTACACCTCTCAACACTGTTGCCTACACCTCTCAACACTGTTGTCTAGCACCTCTCAACACTGTTGTCCTACACCTCTCACACTGTTGTCTACACCTCTCAACACTGTTGTCTACACCTCTCAACACTGTTGTCTACACCTCTCAACACTGTTGTCTACACCTCTCAACACTGTTGTCTACACCTCTCAACACTGTTGCCTACACCTCTCAACACTGTCTACACCTCTCAACACTGTTGTCTACACCTCTCAACACTGTTGTCTACACCTCTCAACACTGTTGTCTAAACCTCTCAACACTGTTGTCTACACCTCTCAACACTGTTGTCTACACCTCTCAACACTGTTGCCTACACCTCTCAACACTGTTGCCTACACCTCTCAACACTGTTGCCTACACCTCTCAACACTGTTGTCTACACCTCTCAACACTGTTGTCTACACCTCTCAACACTGTTGTCTACACCTCTCAACACTGTTGCCTACACCTCTCAACACTGTTGTCTACACCTCTCAACACTGTTGCCTACACCTCTCAACACTGTTGCCTGCACCTCTCAACACTGTTGTCTACACCTCTCAACACTGTTGCCTACACCTCTCAACACTGTTGCCTACACCTCTCAACACTGTTGTCCTACACCTTAACACTGTTGCCTACACCTCTCAACACTGTTGTCTACACCTCTCAACACTGTTGCCTACACCTCTCAACACTGTTGTCTACACCTCTCAACACTGTTGTCTACACCTCTCAACACTGTTGCCTCACCTCTCAACACTGTTGCTACACCTCTCAACACTGTTGCTACACCTCTCAACACTGTTGCCTACACCTCTCAACACTGTTGTCTACACCTCTCAACACTGTTGTCTACACCTCTCAACACTGTTGTCTACACCTCTCAACACTGTTGCCTACACCTCTCAACACTGTTGTCTACACCTCTCAACACTTGCCTACACCTCTCAACACTGTTGCCTGCACCTCTCAACACTGTTGCCTGCACCTCTCAACACTGTTGCCTGCACCTCTCAACACTGTTGCCTGCACCTCTCAACACTGTTGCCTGCACCTCTCAACACTGTTGCCTACACCTCTCAACACTGTTGCCTGCACTCTACGAGACGCTACGCTGCCGTTTATATAATTTACTGTTAACTTAACCTAACTCACACTAAAATAACTCAGGGAATTTATATAAATTATTGCAATAATCTTAGTTAATATTATATCACTTGTTTGATGTCCTTTCTAAAGATCATTATTTTTATTTTTATTATTGGGTAAAAAGATACATGTGCCTCTGATGCGGCATTTGATTGTGGCAACGTTTCGCTCTCCATGTAACGTCTTGACAAAGCTCCTGAAGCGAGAAACGTTGCCACAATAAAATATCACGTTAGTTACTCTTGTGTTCTTTTATTTAACATATTGTGGGTAATTCTACCAACATTATTACGATTATTATTATTATTATTATTATTATTATTATTATTATTATTATTATTATTATTATTAATTAAGTTCAGTAATGGAGGGGTTGCCCAGGCACAGTGGAATTCTAATATCAATACTCAGAGACCCGACAGCCCCTCAGTTCGAATCCTAGAATGACAGTACACAAATAACCCACACATGGGAGAAAGAGAAAAAAAACCATACCACGGGTGGGGTTAGAACCCGCGATCATCCAGACCGACGCGTCCGCCACTGGACCAGAATAAGATTCATCCAACTAGGTATATATCTGCACCATAGGAAGGTGAGTCATATGAGAGAGAAGAGCTTATAACGACGTTTCGGTCCGACCTGGACCATTTACAAGTCACAATAACACACGAAGGTGTGGGAGCCAGTATATACAGGAGAGGGGGACAGGAACGGAACAAAGAGACGAAGAAGGAAGTGGAGAAGTGGTAGAGATAATTCTCTAGACTGACAGTTGTTAGTCTCTTACTAAGGTTTGAAGTTAGTTATCAAGAATACCCGCAAAATACTAAATGGTTATAACTATGAACATAATTTTTAAAAGGGTAGAGGGGTAAGCCAGCGGAAGGCCTCGGTCAGATGACCAAAAGCTCCAGCTGTGGGTCATCATCTAAGACCCGCGTCGGGAAACACTTGTCCTGTTTCTTGACGAGCCTTACCTAACCTTACCTAATAATACCTGTATCCTATAGAGTCTAGAACTTACAAAAAGACTGCTTTGCAAATGTCTATCGTAATAAGATACAGATTTTCGGAAGTATGTCGCTAGTACTGAGACGGGTGGGAATTAACTTAAACTGTTATAAGTCTTACAAAGGTGAACGTTGCATGCGAGAAGGCTCTATTTTTTGACTGGTTTTCTTGGGTTGTCCCAACTCTGACAGCACAGCACTTACTGACCAACATACAGATTGACAGTATAATAATTAATGTGACAGTATGATAACATTACAGTATAATAACCTGTGACAGTATAATAACACTATGATGGACAGTATAATAACCTATATGATATGTCGATATATTTTATTAATGAAAATAAGATATCAGATATATTAAGAAAATTTCCTAAATTTGCTTGTAACAGATAAGTGAACTGTAGATATAAATCCAGAGGTACTCCTGTTAACCCTTTTGAGGCCTAGTTCCTAGGCCTATTGTGTATCTGTAAGTTCTTGCACTACCATCCACAGGATGGATATGAGGTACACAATAAACTAGTCACTACCATCCACAGGATGGATATGAGGTACACAAACTAGCCACCACCATCCACAGGATGGATATGAGGTACACAAACTAGCCACCACCATCCACAGGATGGATATGAGGTACACAAACTAGCCACCACCATCCACAGGATGGATATGAGGTGCATAATAAACTAGCCACTACCATCCACAGGATGGATATGAGGTACACAAACTAGCCACCACCATCCACAGGATGGATATGAGGTGCATAATAAACTAGCCACTGCCATCCACAGGATGGATATGAGGTGCACAATAAACTAGCCACTACCATCCACAGGATGGATATGAGGTGCACAATAAACTAGCCACTACCATCCACAGGATGGATATGAGGTGCACAATAAACTAGCCACTACCATCCACAGGATGGATATGAGGTGCACAATAAACTAGCCACCACCATCCACAGGATGGATATGAGGTACACAA